TTTTTTTTTTTTTTTGTAGGGGGGGTGAGGAACTGCCTGAGCCCATCCGGTCCCCTCTGACAGATGGGGTGGGTGAGGGCCAGGAAGGTGGAGTTGGGGGGAAGGATGGGCTGGGCCAGCTACCGGAGCTCAGTCCTACCCACTCATTTCTTGCTCTGCAGGTGAAGGCTGAGCTGAGGGTCCTCCTTCCAGCGCAGGGCCTGGCGCCCTGCTTGCTGCGATGCACAAACGTCTCTTCCCACCTCCTTGCTGCAGTCCTGGGCATATGAAGATTTTGCCCGCCTCCTTCACCTTTTTCTGTCTCCATCTGTTCTTATTTCCTTGCCCTCTGACTTTCCTTCAGACCCCCTTGTCAAACTGTGGCGTACGTCTTTGTTTGTTTTGGTACCGGGGATAAAACTAAGGACATTGTGCTTACAAGGCAGGCCCGCTGCCACTGAGCTAAATGCCCTGCCCTTGTGACTTACGTTTTAAACTTTGACTTTGGTGTATTTTCTTCTTAGAAGCCTATCTTTGGTTTCTGAATTGGAAAGCAAATGGCCAAGTCTTAAAATCTGTTTCCATATTTCTCAAAGATAATGCCTGTTTTCCAAAGTGGTTGTAACATTGATTCCCATTCCCAACAGCAACATATGAAGGTTCCTATTTTGAGATAAGTTCTCCCTAAGGTGCCCAGGCTTGCCTTGAACTTGGGATCCTCCAACTCTACCTGCCTAGTAGTTGGGATGACAGCATGGCTCACTGTGCCTGCCCACTTTTCATTTTCTTAATGTTTTTGAAACAAAAACAAAGTAGCTTTATTGAACTACGATTGACTCATAGTAAATTAAAAATTTTAAATATACAACATAAATCTTGGCACGTACCCAACTGTGAACCCATATGTACAATAAAAAAAACAAATATATCCATCCCATCAACTTTTTTTATCCCCATAATCAGTTCCTTCCTGCCCTTCCAGGTTTCCTAATAGCCACTAACCTGCTTTATATCACCACATATTACTTTGCATTTTCTAGAACTTTATACAAATATTCATTATATATATTTTCTTAAGTTCATCCACTTTATGTGTCAGTAATCAGCTTCAGATGCTGAGTTGTGTGTGTGTGTTGGACAGTGGAATTGTTTCCAGTTTTTAACTATTACAAATAAAGATGCTGTTTTAGTTAACTTTCTTGTAGATAAGACACAATACCTGACACCCACAGTTTAAAGGAGGAGGGTCAGGAATGTAGGTTAGCAGCACAGGGCCTGCCTGGCAAGCACAAAGCCCTGAATTCGATCTAGGTACAAAAACAAAAACAAAAAGAATAGCCAGACAGAACCAGCTCATTCGTGCCGCTGCCTGCCTCACAAGCACGAGGACCCAAGTTCGATCCCAGGAGCTCAAAACAAAAAAGGAGAGATGCCAGGTGTGGTTTCACATGCCTGTAATCCCACGGCTCAAGAGGCTGAAGCAGGATTGCCGAGAGTTGAGGCCAGCCTGGGCTACATAGTGACTTTAAGGTCAGCCTGAATTACATAGTGAGATCCTATCTCAAAAAAATAAATAAAAAAATGTTTAAAGGAGGAGAGGTTTACTTTGGTTCACACTTTCAAAGGATTCAGCCCGTGCTCAGCTGACTTCAAAACGGAAACATCATGGCAGAAGAGTGAAGTGGAGCCAAGATGGCCAGGAAACAAACCAAGTTCCCTGAAAAGAAAATGTGAGGGGCCAAGTATTGACCCCAAGGTCATGGCTCACCCAGACGTACCCAGAAGTGTGCTCCATCAAACTCCTGAGTAGCTCCCAAACCAATGAAGCTTACCTACCATAGATGCTATGAATACTCAGATAAAACCTTGGTATGACCATTTGCTTTCATTTCCTCTGTGTAGTACTTGTGTAAATATCTAGAGAAATGGTTGAGTTATATGGTAGGTGTGTGTTTACTTTTTAAAACTGGCCAAACTGCTTTCCAAAGTTGTGCCATTTTTATATTCCTACCAGAAGTGTGAGTCAGAGTTGTTCCACATCCTTGTCGACACTTGATATCATCAGTCATTTTACATTTAAGTTAGTCTAGTAGTTACATAAGGGTATCTCATTGGATTTTAGTTGGCACTTGTCTATTGACTAATGATGTACTCTTTTAGTACTTACTAGCCATTTAGATTTGAAGTGTTCAAATTTTTTACCACTTTTTATTGAGCAATTTATTGAGTTCCAGAGATCTTCATATATTCTGCTCCTTCATAAGATATGGGCTGGGTAAATATTTCTCACTTCTTGGTTTGTCTATTCATTTCCTTAAAATGTTGTTCAATTAGTGCTTCTTAATTAAGTCCAAATTATCAACCATTTCTTTTGTTTTGTGAGATGCAAAACACAAGTAGCCCAGGCTGGCCTCCAACTCCTAGCAATCCTACTGCTTCAGCCTCCCAAATTTTGGGATTATTGGAGTGTGCCACCACACATGAATTTCATATATGAATTGTTTATGGTGTCATAGCTAAGAATTCTTGACTAACACAGTGTCATATAGATTTTTCCCCTTTAATTTCTTCTTAGCTTTTTTTAAACATTGTTTCATTTAGATCCATGATATATTTTCTTTTCTTTTATTTGCTTTTGTGGTGGAGTCACTGTATTGCCCATGGTACTCTTGAACTTGTGGGCTCAAGAAATCCTCCCACCTCAAACTTGTGGGACTACAAGCATTTGACATCATGCTCAGCCATGGTGCATTTGAAATTAATTTTTGTATATTATGGGAAATTCATACTTTTGTATTTGAAAATCCAGTTTTTTCCAGCACTAATTATTGAAAAGACTGTCATTTTCTTCATTGAATTGCATTTGTACCTTGGACAAAAATCAAGTGATCATATATGTGAAGATGGATTTCCAGACTCCATTCTGTTCCATTGATCTATTTGAGTAGACACCCAACCTACACTATATTTATGCAGCTAAGTCTTGAAGTAGAGCAGAATAAGTTAGGTCTCTTTGCAATTACCATAGACCTGTATTTGTCAAATTACGGGGGGAGGATGGTTACTAAAATATTGATGGGAATCTGTAATTCAATTTGTGGGAGAAATGACAGCTCAACATTGAACTTTCCGTTCCACAAACATGTTCTCCATTTGAGTCTTTTTTTCTTTTTTCAGAGTTGGGGATCCAACCCAAGGCCAGTACATGCTAGGCAGGGAACCACTCTATTACTGAGCTATATTCCCAGCCACTTCCACTGGAGTCTTTAAAGACCTTTTCTAGCAATGTTTTATAGCTTTTGATACGCTTGTCTTGCATATATTTTGTTAAGTACAGCCCTAATATTTCATATTTTCCTGATGATATAAATGCTTTATGTAGCAGATTAAACCCAGAGCCTTGCTAAGCTATACACTCAGCCTTGAGTATTTTTTGGTTTTGCTTTTGTTATTGGTGATTGTTCTGGTGCTGGTGATTGAACCCAAAGCCTTATTCACAGCAGACAAGAGCTCTACCAGTCTCTTTAGACAAGAGCTAAATCCCCAGTCCTCTAAATATTTTTATTTCAGGCTTTTTTTAGCTTTAATTGAGTTTATTGGTACATTTTAGGGATACAATACAGTTACATCCATTGTTGGGATCTTGTACCTCTACATGACAAGTCTTGGTTCTCATTTTTTCCCCTTGTCCCTGCCCTCCCTTCACCCCCTCCTCCCCTCCCCATCTACAACCGCTTTATTTCCATCTTTTCATTATCTCACATTTTTTTATTTGCCCTTTTATTTCAATTTTTAATTTTCATTACTGTACATACAATTGATGTTTGTACTCTGACCTTGCTACATTCATTAAAAGATATCTTCACATTTTTTACTTAATCATATCATCTGCAAATAACGATTGGTTAATTTTTTCTTTTTGTTTTGTGTTTCCTTTTCTGTCATATTGGACTAGCTGAAGCATCCAGAAAAAAGCTACACAGAAATGTTGAAAGCAGCTATCCTTGTCTTCTCCCTGGACTTCAAGCTATTTAGTCATTCACCAGTATAATAGTTAAAGGACTTTATACATAACACTTTCAGGTTAAATTTCTATATTTTTTTTTTTCTTGGTACCAGGGATCAAACTCAGGTCCTTGCTCTTGCAAAGCATGCTGGCGCCAGAACCACGGAGCTAAATCCCTGGTCATGGCCAAATTTCTTTTAATTCTTACTATATTGTTTAAAGTTTCTATCATAAATGTGGTTGAATTCTGTCAAATACTTTTTTGAGTATCTATGGAGGTATTTTTAAGGTTGTTAATGTGATCAAGTACACAAATTGATTTTCAGTTAAATAAACTTTTCACACCTTAGTCTAATACTATTTGACCATTTTTATGGCTTATATCTAAATATACCCCCAAGCCTCATAGGTGGGGCTTTTTTGAGTTGGCTGGATCTAGAGTGTGTGATACTGGGATTAAGGGTGTGTGGCACTGAATTAGTCCACTGATTGGAATTACCATAGTTCTGCGTGTGGCCAAAGAGATTTACTGAATCCCCACCTTGGGCAGCATCACCCAAGGCTTGGCTTGTAGCCTGCCTGGATGGGACTAAAGGGAAAAAGCAGGCTGTGGGCTTGCTGCTTTTTTTTTTTTTTTTTTTTTTTTTTTGAGACAGGATCTCATTTTGTAGTTCAGGCCAGCCTTGAACCCATTATGTAGCTCAGGCTGGCCTACAACTTGCAGCAATCCTCCTGCCTCTGCCTCCCAATGCTGGGATTACAGGCATGAGCCACCACGCCTGGCTTGCTTGCTGCTTTCTGCCTGCCTTCCCATGGACTGTTTTGCCTCGCCCATGCCAACATGCTTGGAGCCAGCTGATTATGAACTGAAACCTCTATAAACTGAGTTGAAATAAACTTTTCTTCCTTTAACCTGTGGGTGTCAGTGTCAGGTATTTTGTCCCAGCAGGGAGAAAAGTAACTAAGACAAGCACAATATAACCTTTTAGCATATTGCTGGAATTTGCTAGTACTTTTCCTTTTTTTTTTTGGTACTGGGGATCAAACTCAGGTCCTTGGGGTTGTGAGGCAGGTCCTGGAACCGCTGAACTAAATCCCCAGCCCCTTTGCTAGTATTTTTCTTAAGTATTTTCTTTGTGAGGACTATTGGTCCATCATTTTGATATAATGTCTGTTTTGCTGTCAGTATAATGATGTTGTCATGAAATGGGTTGGGCTGTACTTTTCTCTTTTCTTGAAAAGAGTATATAAAAGTGGTATCCTTTCTTTAAATCTCACTAAACAAGCCACATGGTCCTGGGTTTTTCTTTGTGGAAACAATTTTAACTACAAATTAAATTTGCTTCATACTTAAGGCTATTCACTCTTCCTTTTTCTTTTCTTTTGAAAGTCTTATTAAATACATATACCATACAACTCAGCTATCATAACTGAGTAATAGTCCATTGTGTGATCATCATACATCTTGTTTATCTATCCATTTATCAGTTGATGATTTTGGATTATTTCCACTCTGCCTATTACAAATAACGCTGTGATGAATACAAGTTTTTGTGTGGACATGTTTTCCTTTCTCTGGCATATGTATCTAGTAGTGGAATTGCTCTAACCTTTTGCAGAACTGCCAAACCTTTTTTTTTTTTTTGAGACAAGATCTTTGTCTAAAATTTTAAACTTACTGGATGAGTTAGGATATCTTTTTATTACCAGGAAGTTCTGATGTTTTCTCTCATTACTAATATTAGTAATTTGTGTCATTTTGTTAGTCAATTTTATTTTTTCCAAATGGCTTTTGCCTTCAGTTTTCTTGTGTCGGCTTCAATTTCCTGGCTTCTGGTCTTATTTTCTTCCTTCAATTTTTCTTTAGGCTTAACTAGCTCTTTTCTTTCTCTCTTCTTCCTTCCTCCCTTTTTTCTTTTCTTTCTGCAGTACTAGGGATCAAACCCCTAATCTTTCATATATTAGGCAAGTGCTCTATCACTAAGCTACTTGCTCAGCCCTCTTTGAAACAGTCTTGCTAAAATGCCCAGGCTACCTTGGCATCTGCAATCTTATCTGCTTCAATCTTCTGAGTTGCTGGGATTACAGCCTGCACCATTATGTCTGGCTTCTGGTTTTTTTGAGTTGTAAACTTAGATCCTTAATTCAAAACCTTTCTTTTTTTTACATATATTTAATATGATAAATTACTCTTTAAATATTTCTATAGCTGGATTTGGCAGCTTTTGATGGATTTTTTTCTGTTCAATATTATGTAATTTCTTGTAAGACACATGAGTTATTTTAAAGTATATTTAATTTCCAAACATGTAGAGATTTTTCCAGATATGGTATCACGATTCTTAAATGTACAGTGATTTACATTATGGCCCATAATTTGGTCTATTTAAAATATTTACTTGAGCTATGATTAA